ACCCTGCCCAGCACCCAGCCCCAGCACCGGGCGAGGCAGCGGCCGGGGCACAGGGCAGGGCCCAGCTTTCCTGGGAGTCCTCCTCCCCTCGGGGACAGGGACGGAGGGGTGGCGGAGGCCACCCACCTCACTGGCGATGCTGCTAGTCCAGAGGGGATCTCACCACCTGGCATGCACCCTGGCCACCCCAGACTGTGGGGCCACGTAAGGACAGACGACCCAGGGGCCTGCAGGGCGGACGCGGGGCGCTGTCCATGGTGCTGACCTGTCTGTCCCAGCCCGGAGTATCACGCTGTCACACAGCCCCCCATCCGGCTGGGAACTGTCTCCTGCACCTTCCGAGGTCCTCGTTCTTGCCCATCCCCGGGCGCCCACGCCACGTCCCACCTCAGGCCTCTGGTCTGTCCCTGGGCTCCGGCCCCTGGGAGCAGGGCAGCGCCTTAGCCCTCGGTGTCCCCAGGGTCTGACACCTCAGGGTGCTCCCTGAGCCAGCGGCTTCATGGAGGAGTCCGTGGTCTTGTTGGGGCGCCGGTGGCTTTGCTTCTGGAGGTTCCTGGGGGTGTAGAGTGAGCCACTCCATCTGCAGAAAGAACACAGTGGCTGAGACCGGGGTCCTCTCATCTCTGCTGTGGGGGGCAGAGCCAGGACCCTCCCCCATGCCTTCGGCCTAGGGCTCTGCTCACCGTGGGCAGACATCGTACTGACCACCCACAGCCCAGGGTGGGCGCTGCCCCACGTGGGGGGCTGTGCCAGGGCCAGGTTAACTCTGCAAGACCTGGACGGGGGGAGGGCAGGGTCAGGTCTGTGTTAAGGGGTCACTCCACGGCCTTGGTGGGAGTCACAGAGGGAGCCCAGGAAGTCACTGCTGTGAGGGTCCCAGGGAGCAACCGCGAGGCCGCGACGTGGGTGGTGGATTGAGGTTTGGGGGTGACTGAGGGGTGGGGTGGGCCGGGAGGACCACGTGTGGCCCAGCCTGGGACGCAGGGAGACACGGAGGCATTGCAGGAGGCGGACACGGACGACCAGCAGGGCACTCTGGGCTTCGAGGAGTTCTGTGCCTTCTACAAGATGATGTCCACGCGCCGGGACCTCTACCTGCTCATGCTGACCTACAGTGACCACAAGGACCACCTGGACGCTGCCGACCTCCAGCGCTTCCTGGAGCTGGAGCAGAAGGTGCCGCAGGCACCCGGAGCCCGCCCCGGGGAGGCCGAGGGCCTGGGGACGTGGGCGCGGCCTGCCATTCAGGGTCCCCAGTCCACCTGCCACCGAGTCCCGTCACGTGACGCTGGGGGTGGCCAGGGAGCCCCTTGTGCGGGGAGCACACTGCAGAGCCCCAGCCCCACGGCGCTGAGCCCTGATCAGAGACGGGGCTGGGGCAGTGGCCTCGGAGGGGAAGGGTGACGGCCGGCCTGGGCTCACGCCCCTTCCTGGCCTAGATGACGGGTGTGACACTCGAAAGCTGCCGGGACATCATCGAACAGTTCGAGCCCTGCCCAGAGAACAAGAGTAAGGGGGTGCTGGGCATCGACGGTGAGTGGGTGTCACCTCGGTCCCGCAGTGCTGGGCGGCCTGGACAGGACCCTTCGTGTCCCATGCGGCATGGGGGCGGGTGGTCTCGAGCGGAGCCCGGAGGCGGGGCCGGACCCCGGGGCCGGACCCCGGGCTGAGCCGCCCCACACCGGCCGCCCCGCAGGCTTCACGAACTACACGCGGAGCCCGGCCGGGGATATCTTCAACCCGGGCCACCACGGCGTGCACCAGGACATGACGCAGCCACTCAGCCACTACTTCATCAGCTCGTCCCACAACACCTACCTCGTGGGCGACCAGCTCATGTCGCAGTCACGGGCGGGCATGTACGCCCACGTGCTGCAGGCCGGCTGCCGCTGCGTGGAGGGTGCGTGGGGGGACCAGGGGTCCGGGCCCGGGCTGC